TGAAGATTTTCGCAATGGGATATATTTCAGCGAGTGGCTTAATTCTAATCTGGACCATCACGTGAGAACAAATGTTCTTCTAATAATGATGCAAAAGCCGATGGTTATTAAAGCGTTTACCATCTCTGTCGATTTTGTCATGTTCACAAATGTAAGCATCTCATATTGCAATAGCTTTTGTGCCGTGAATACAAGTTTACAACTTTCAAATCCGTCCAGCTTCTATTGTGCCATTGTTTTAAAGCTATTTTTTCTTTTCATTATTACAAAACTAGAAAGTTTAAAATTAAAAAGTAAGAAAATAGATGTAAAATTTTTAAATTGGATTCGTGCAAGAAAATTTATATTTTTTAAACGTAAACTTGTAATTATAAAGCTAAGTAAAAGACGGAAGTAAAAAATGTTAAAACAATGATTCAAAAAATTGTAAATTTATATTTTAACTAAATAGATCTGGAGTTTATTTTCATAAAGTTTCGCCGAATTTCTGGCAATTTCTTATGTGCAAAGCTTAAGAATATTTTATTTTAATGAATGACATTTATCCTTAAGTTTTCTATATATTAATGTAATGATAATCATTTTGTTTTAATTGCTAGTTTGTGAATACTACAATGTCCTACTTCTTTTTGTTGGAATCTGTGGGCGATAAGGGTGGATGAAGATACTACGTATTAATTACTTTTCTATTGGTAAACTTGTAACTTGTACACATTGTAATATTAAGGAAATATATAATTAAGGTAGTGCAATCAAGACATAAGTAATATCTTTTATTATATTAAAAATATTGTTATACGTTCACTTGCAGAGAATAATTTTGATTTCGTCTAGAATTAGGAATAAAAAATTATTAGCATGGAAATTCGTTGTATGCTTATGTATCATAAAAATTTGCAACACATTTTCTTTAAATCTTATTAAAAATTTTTTGATTAATTACTTAATTATCGATTATAAGTTTTAGTATTATATATATATATATATATATATACACACACACACACAGAGCATTAATTAATTATAGATGCACACACTAATTAATCCTTTCTTTTTTATTGTTGTATTGAAGTATGACCATGCATCATTTATGAAAAAAATATGATAAAAGATTTTTTATTATATTTCAAATAAAAATTTTTTCATTATCATATTATTAATGTAATTATTAAAATAAACTTTTAAAATTTAGCATCGATAAGAAATTGTTAACAGTAACTAAATCTGAACAATCTTGAAGGACTACTAAAAAATCGCTCACTTATAGTAAAATATTATATTTCATAATTTCATCTTTAATGAGATTATTATCACAGTTCAATTATCAAAATTTATACTGATTTAATTTACGTGAATACATTATATTAATTCGTTAAATAGAAATAAAAAATTAATCCAAATATTCATAAACAAGATAATATCATAAATAGATAATATCATAATATACAAGTTTTAATTATGAAAAAAAGATATCAATCGTGGATGTATGCATGCGAAATCGAATATGTAATTTCTGTTCTGACAATTTCTGTCCTTGCTCATCATGTTGAACCATTAAACACTAAATCTCTTCCATTTTTACACGTATCGAATTATTATTTAATATTATGCTATCCCGATAATATATGGACTTAACTTTATTTTGAAAATAATAAGAATTGAGTATTGAACGGAAAATCGAATACACGAACTTTCTTGTCCCGACGGTTGCTTATCATTGAAATATTGCAAGTATTGAACTTCTTTCCTTGCACATGTTCAACTGCATTGCCCCGATGCTATCAACAATGTATAAAGGTACTTTACTTTTCATCAAAAGGAATTGTGAATGATATTTGAATGAGATTCATGTAGGATTCCTTTTTCTCCTTTCAAATAAATATATTGTCATGTATGAAAAGTCATTGCTAGTCCTAATATGACTTTCGTCGCAATTCACAGATACATCTTGCCATTCCCTTTGAAATGTAATTTTTCTTATATACTCATAGTTCGTCTATTATTTCAGTATATTCGAACGTTAGCCTGAAGACCAAAACATCAACGTATGACTATCAACGTTAAACTGGAATTAATCATTAATATTTCAGGGCTTCCATAAGTAAAACATATTACATGAACGGTAATGTACGAAGAAATTATGCGCGCTACAACTTCAAACTTCAAAGTAATACCAATATAAATCGCAATCGTTTTATAAAATTTTCAATGTCCGAGATGAAAGATAGATCTTCTTTTTCCATCATTGTTTCTAATCTTGTCGTAGTGAAAGCATCGGAAATATAAACAGTTGTACGTAAAAATATCCAACCAGATTTCTAATACTAAAATCGTCTGATAGCAATCGTCTTTTCAACTTTGGTTAAGTAATAAGATTTACAAAAGATTTGCAAAAGTATTGACAAGAAAATTCCGATATAAAGTAAGCACTTTTTCAACATTCTTATAAAGTGTGATAATTTTTGTAAGTTTATACATTATTTATATATATTTATATATATTTAGTATACATTATTTATATATATTTAATTTTTCTAAAGATTATTGAAACATATTTATGATATTGTGATATTTTGATTTACTATTAACGATACTTATTTTGTTCATTTCTCTACCTTTTCTTTTTATTTATTTTATACAAGCTGTCTATCTTTTTTGTTTTAAAACATATTACTCTGCATTCGCATATATGTAAGTATATTCAAAATATCATTATACAAATTTTAAATATGAGACTGGAATTAATTTGTTTCCATTGTTATAATTAATGTTTTAAATGTTAATATCGCGTTAAATCAATCATTGTTTAAAATATGATGATTAATATCAATAAAAATGTTTGTTTATTGTTATTATCATCATTAAGAAGAAGAAATTCAGAAGAAATTCAGAATTTGAAAAAAATTAAAACTTTGCTCGAAATAAAATGAAACTAAAAATATTTAAATATCTCTAAAAGATTTTTATTTCTCAGATCGGAAATTTTTCATTCAACATTTCATAAAATCGATGCTGAAATCAACATGACTGATAAACGATTGCAAGCGTATCACAAGTATCAGCGCTTTCTTCGAGGGCTGCTCATAACTTGTGGCTGTTGGTATGCTCCCACAAAATCTGGCAAATCAACATATTACTGGTCCGTTTGCATACTTTTGTCGTTGTTTGCGTTTTCGTCGCTGAGTTTACGTATCAGTTATATGTATAGACATCATTTGTCATATATGATGAAAAACATAGGCATAATGCTGACTACATTAGGCATTTTCTAAGGTACAAACCTGGATTTGAACACGTAGATCAGAAAAGCAATTTATATATATATATATATATATATATATATATATATATATATATATATATACTACTACTATATACTACTACTACTATATATATACGACGTACTATATATATATATATATATATATATATATATATATATATATATATATATATATATATATATATATAATAATAATATATTATTTATTTATTATTAATTATATATATATTATATATATATATATTATTATTATATATATATATACTATATTATATATATAATAATAATTAATACTATATAACTATAATATATATATATATATAAGTACGTAGTAAGTTAATTAATTATTACGTTAGTACGTACGTTACTACTACTACACCACTACACTACACTACACACACACACACACACACACACACACACACACACACACACACACACACACACACACACACACACACACACACACACAAAAACCCAGTCGCGTCGCAAGAGAACCGAGCCTTAAAGAATGTTACTTAATTGTAATATGCTATCTTTTGCAAAAAGGAAGTATTTAAACAATTTCTCAAAAAAAAAAAAAAGGAATAATAATTTGGATTATAAATATTATAATAAATTCGAATTTAAATTCACAGAACATAGAATCACAGTTTAAGTTATTTGTTTTGCAAAGAATGAAAGTATGCATCTTTGAGTTTCTTCAAGGTCTCATGCTTTTTAATCAATCGTCGTTCTCTGATTAATTATCATCGTACGCTGAGTAGTCTCTTCGAGGAAGAACTTACGCAGAACGAAAAAGTCCGAACAGTGATGCTCTCGCCATTGCGCACGATATCCACTCTCGCGTATACATATTCCGGCTGTACAATTACCTTAAGTATGACGTATCTTATGCCAACGTTCATCGTCATTATCCGCGGTATTTTCCACTTACACTTACCTACAAACTACAGTCTACCGTACAGCAGAGGATACGGATACCTTTGGACCGTTCCCACTGGCTTCCTACGTCATTTTCATTTGCTTTTCGAGATATGCATAATAATGATGCAATGTATTACCACTACCGGCGTTGACAGTGTTTTTGGATTTTACATCTACCTGCTATCCTCGACAATGCGTGCCATGACCTTCAGACTCACGAATCCACTACCTAACGACAAGTTCTCCGACGTGCTGAGGGTGTGCGTGGCGAAGCACCTCAAGCTAATACAATGCCGCGACACACTGAAGCGGGTTTATAGTCTGATAATCCTCTGGCACATCGTCACCAACGCTGTACTCCTTTGCGCACTGATATTCGAGGCAATGCAAGTATGTCGATATGAAAGTTAATTTCCAATTCTGTCATGTCTGTATTACAATAGTCTCCCTTTGGGACCTAATCCCTATGCCGAATAATTGAACCAGCCAATTAGTTCGAACATC